GCCCAGGCCTTGAATTAACTCTGGAAGCAGACCAGGAACCAGTGGAGAGACCATAGCACGGGGGTGGGGTATGGTAGCTTGGTACATGTTCCCAGTTGTTAGCCCACTGAGGAGCTGGGTAGCTGCATTCTGCCCAATCTACACTCATAGCCATCTGGGATTTTTGAGATCAATGCTCCTTCATCCTGTGGGATCAAGGCAGGCAATTCAGTAGGGCTAAACTAATCCATAGGGATCAGGCTAATGCGTCATCAGAACAGCCAATGGAAAACAAAAGAAAACTCATCAAGTGGGCAAGCCGCTTCTATCGGCATCTCAGGAAGGTTTTGGAAGAGAGAAACACATGGCAGAAAGGAATGGACAAAATCCATTAAGCTGTGTGATCACAAAACTTGGCACCTCTCCACGGCCCCAGAAATGGACAGGGGACATAAGAACGGCCGTACTGGGTCAGACCAAAGGTCCATCCAGCCCAATATCCTGTCTACCGACAGTGGCCAATGCCAGGTGCCCCAGAGGGAATGAACCTAACAAGTAATGATCAGGTGATCTCTCTCCTGCCATCCATCTCCATCCTCTGACAAACAGAGGCTAGGGACACCTTTCCTTACCTATCCTGGCTAATAGCTATTAATGGACTTAACCTCCATGAATTTATTCAGTTCTCTTTTAAACCCTGTTATAGACACTTTCAAGGCATTGCCCTGGTTCCCTCCTATGAACGACAAAGAAATGTAGAGACCATGGGTTCATTTATTGGCTGAAAAACTTAGCAGGGCAGGGAGGGGAAGGATTATCGGATAGTTGCACATAAAACATCTCCATCATGGATTCTTCCAGCTCCTCCTCATGTTGTTCATCTCCTCCCAGAACCCAGGATTTGGCGATGTAGAGAGAGATTTTCATTGGAGAAGGGGGATGTAGTGCAAACTAGTGTTTTCCGGGACATCTGCTGGCTGGTTCTGGATTGTTACAGGTAAATATCAGTTTAAAGCTAAACCCTCCAAGCTCTTCTCATGATTATGTCCCCACTACATCAGAACAGTATTAGGAAAGACAGCCCCGAATCAGGATTGCAAGTCCTCCTCCTTCTCAACATGCTCACTTCCCACACACAAGCACCTGCTGGCCTCCAAAGAACACAGGTAAGTGCCATTTGCTTAAATGTACCTGAGTGCAAACATCCAGGACCAGGGATTGCATCTCATATTTCTTCACCTTGCAGCCACTCCTGCAACAAGAAAAAGAGACAGATTCAGACCCAGCTTTGCTGTTCTCACTGGGTGGAGGACAGGTGGAAGGAGAAGCATGTGCAGAGAGAGGCTGAAGCAAATGAAGGGCAGCCCCAGCGTAGCACTGCACTCTACTGATGGGACAGGCCCAAGCACTCATTAGGAAAATATTATGGCAAAGCAAGTTCTTAAAACAAAACAAAAAAACAACCCAAACCAACCAACCAACCGTTGTTTTCTTCAGAATATTTATTCCTCTGCAAAGGTAAAGCCCAGAGGAAGCATCTCCAGTCAGCTCTTGCCTGCTGATGGAGAGGATTACAACCAACAATAAGCTCGGTAAGAAAGGTTTCTCTTACTAGGTCATTGCCCTGAATCTCTAAAGCTTTATCTGGAGATATTATCCAGGGGTTTAACATGCATGTTGGCCTTCCAGCAGGATGAACCGTTCCAACAAAGAGACCCTCCACAAGCACCAGTGCATGTCTCCTGAAGCCATGTGTTACTCTGTTCTATCTACCTTGCGGCTCCGCACAGTGCTCATTTCCATAGTAACCGTGCCTTTCCTAGCAAGTCAGATCTGCACAGCCAGGCCCGGACAGACTTTATGGGGTCTTCTGCTCTTCTCCCTTCTCTGGTCGTAGTGCACTCTGCTTGGTTTGAAGGGCAGACTCATTTCATTCCTTTGTATTTTAATGATCTATCCAGTGACGGTGAAAACGACGTCTCAAAGAGGAGCGTGCTGCAGCATGCCCTAAAGAAGGCTAAGCTCGGGGTGACTCTGAGCGGTTCTTGTGGCTCATTCCAGACGTGGATCCCCTCAAATGAGAATGCTCCATCTCCAGCTCTCAGGCATTTAGTCCTGGGTTTTGCAAGCTGCACTGTCCATAGTAAGTCCTGGATGGAGATGTGGTTATAGGCGTATCTGGGTCCTAACACACTGATGGCCCAGGCCTTGAATTAACTCTGGAAGCAGACCAGGAACCAGTGGAGAGACCATAGCACGGGGGTGGGGTATGGTAGCTTGGTACATGTTCCCAGTTGTTAGCCCACTGAGGAGCTGGGTAGCTGCATTCTGCCCAATCTACACTCATAGCCACAATCAGCGAGTGTGGCTTCACTTTCCCACCAGGTTGCATCCTTGCTTTAGGCCCTGTATTGAGTTTTGCTTGGGTTAAGGGTCTGTTTTTCCTTGGACTCCGTGTCGATTCATTTCAACCAATGTGTTAAACAAATCTAGCAGACAGCACCGAGCTCCAAGGGCCGGATCCAGCAGAAAATAACACAGGCTCTCTGAACTGCGCAGTCAAGCATGCAGGGCTGAGAGGCACTATCCTCATTCTGGCATTTGGCAAAACAGACTGGCCGTGTCCCATGGACCTGGAGCATGCACCAAGGGATGTGGAGGCAGGAGTCTCTGGGGCACAAGAGGAAATGGAGACACCTGCCTTGCAGCAGGATAACATGCACAAGTGCATTCATCTCTCTCACACAGCACTGGAAGTCACGTTTCACCATCTTGGCAGGGAGCAAAGTTTCACCACCACCTCACTGCCTCAGTTAGCAACCTACTGTTCCAGAGCTTGGTTTTTGGTTCCCCAGAGGACAAACATTTGCTGAGCTTAAGACAGACAGGGCCGGTGCTTCCACTAGGCGACCCTAGGTGGTCGCCTAGGGCAGCAGGATTTGGGGGGCGGCATTTTGCCATCCCCGGTAGCAATTCATGCGGCGGGGGTCCTTCCGCTTCTGCGTCTTCGGGGCGCTTCGGTGGCAGGTCCTTCACTCGCTCCGGGACCCACTGCCGAAGCACCCCAAAGACGCGGAGCAGAAGGACCCCTGCCGCTCTGAGTAGGAGCACTGCCGCCAAGGGCGGCAAAAACCCTGGCACCGCTCCTGAAGACATATCTTGTGAGGGTCCATTACAGACATTTATAGGAAGGCTCATTGCCTCCTGCTTTCTCAATGCTCCTTACCAGCAATTTTGCAATGGTGAAGTATGAAAAGATTTGCATTGAGGCCCTACTCCATAATAATCCCCTTCTCCTCCCCTCAGTTCACTCTCAAATCGCCCTGTTCTGTTTTCGTGCCTCTGCCCATTTTCCATCATGCACACGCTCCATGCAGGGATCACTAGTGCCCCAATAGAGCACAATGAAATCCATCATATGCTGGCCCATGAGGGAACCTGATTTGGAGGCTAACATTCACATCTGTGTCTGCCTCAAAACCCCACTCAACTTCACTTTTCTTCATAAGGTTCTAACACAGTTGAATCTCAGGTCCAATGGGGCGTGGCAGATAGCTCTCTCCTTAGGTACAGAAAAGGGCCACCATGCGACTTGCTGGGGAGAGGGTTCTCATACCATCTGGTAGCCAGTCTGATCAGAATACCCTATCCCTTGGTATGCTATCCACAAGCTCGGGGGAAGGAGAAGAACCAGGCTAGGCTGCTCTCAGCCATAAGTTGCTATTACGCACATCCCACTAGCCAGCTGAGTTTTGCTTCTCTCTGCTAGACACATTTGTGCTCTTCTGCTATTGTTCTAATCCTGGAGCATGAATATAAAGTGACTGCTTCAGTAACCTCCTGGGCTTTCAATCAGCAAATCCTGAGGCTACCAGAGTCAACAGGGATATGGGATTACAGGCCATGAAATACCCTCTTTCTACAGCGTATTGGGTGCCAGTACTTAGGACTCAAACTAAAGCAAAGAAGGTTGTATTCAGCTCAGGAAAATGCCTGGTAAATGGATTCCAAAAAATATGTACAATAGGAAGATCCCTAGTCCTGATTAAAAAACAAAACACCAATAGTACAGAAAGACTGGTCAGTTTTCAGTCTGAAGGCAAATGCCAACATTTGCATTCAGTTTTGCTGAATATTGTTCAGTATTGTACATACTGTAACTGACCCTTTCTCTGCTGGCATCCCCAGCTGAGAACTACGCAGACAATAAAGGCACAAATGGGGTAACATAATGTAAATAAAGTACTGGTAAGTCTCCCGTTCCAGCTAGTTCTGAATTTCCCTAAATCTACCAGCATAACCTACATGAATCCTATCGCCTCTGCTGCTCTCCAGAGTGGATGATGGGCGGCGTTACACAGTCACGAATAAGATGAGTCCACCTGTTCCAGGAGAGTAAAAGGTCCCTAGAACCTGGTGTCAGACGATCTCTGCTGCTCTCCTCCTTACTACAGGAAAGCACAGGGGAAAACGCAGAACTTCCACAGCAACAGCACCGGGGAAAACACAGCTGGGGGGGAAATACTTTCCTACAAGAACATGCAATATTTCACTGGTCCATTGTGGCCGGGGTGCTCATGCAAAGTGCTCTGGCGTACGTGGCTAGTTTGTTATGGTCAGGCTGATCACACATGCAGGCTGAGCGCACGGGTATGTTACTCTAGGGGGCTGATGCATGCTGGGTGGCACACGCTGGTTTACTATTGTAAAGTTTTGTGATGGGTCCAGATGAGGCTTAGCCAGGTGAGGGACAATACCCCAGCATGTTTCAGTCTAACCGGCTGCTCTAAGCAGGCTTCAGGGGCTCAGTTCAAATAAGTAGACAATCAAAAAGGTGTCACCCCAAGGTGAGAGCTGAAAACGAGGAGTGCAGACAGCTACCCCTGACCAGACACTAAGCAGAATTAACCAGCAGAATGGTTTTGTGCCGTCAATGTTTAAGTCCATCAAAGGCAGGATTCTCTCCTCTCTCGCAGCAAGCCTGGGCCCAAATGCCAGCTAGCTAGCTCAGACTCTTCGAGGCATGTTCCTCTGACAGTGTGGGGTGTCATTCATCACAGCCAGCTCCTGAACAGGCTGCCTGATATTCTAACCGAACCCTAAGATAACAAGACAGGGCACTGGCCTGGCAGCAGGAAATCTGGGCCTTATCCCCGGCTCTGCCACCGACCTGCTGTACGACTTTCAGTTACTTGTGTTTTCTGTTTCTCCTGTTACCCTTTGTCTGTCCCGTCTATTTAGATGGTAAAATCTCGGAGGCGGGGACTGTCTCTTACAATGTGTCTGTGCAGCAGCTAGCACAACAGAACCCTGATCGTGTCTGGGCTCTAGGTGGTACTGCAGTACAAGTAACTAACATCAATCTGTGCACTGAGAGCATTCGGTCTCCACCCTGCCTTGCCAATCACTGGATAGGGCCAGTAGTAGTAAATACATAATGCTAATACTTCCCTTGTTGAAGATTGCTATTCTTTGCACTAGATTGTGGTTTATTTTAGTGTGCAGGAGATCTGCACTGAGCCAGGTAAACCCTCCCCAAGCCCTAAAGACATTACCACAGGAAGTTATGAAAAAGAAACTTAGGCTTGACAAAGCCCTGGCTGGGATAATTTTGTTAGGGATTGGTCCTGCTTTGAGCAGGGGGTTGGACTAGATACCTCCTGAGGTCCCTTCCAACCCTGATATTCTATGATTCTGTGGTTTTTGAGTCCCTGGGCTCGGCAAAGCCTCTGTGAAGCTATTTCAACACGTTCTGTCCATCATCCTATTCAGTCTCCTGCCCTTGGAGCCATTCCTTCAGTATACGCTGCCTGCCTCACTACTTTACAAAGGCTAGTCAGGTGGGGAGACATCCCCCCAGGGGAGAGAATCACCTGAAGGACAAAAACAACATTTGTCTCTACAATGTATGGATCCAGAAGATCCCCCTAACCCAGTGGTTCTCAACCAGGGGTACGCATACCTCGGGGGGTACATCAACTCATCTAGATATTTCCCTAGTTTTACAACAGGCTACATAAAAAGCACTAGAAAAGTCAGTACAAACTAAAATTTCATTCAGACAATGACTTGTTTATACTGCTCTATATACTATACACTGAAACATAAGTACAATATTTATATTCCAATTGATCTATTTTATAATTACATGGTATAAATGAGAAAATAAGCAACATTGCCGTAATAGTGCACTGTGACACTTGTTTTTTATGTACGATTTTGTTTTTAAGTGAGGTGAGCCTTGGGGTACGCAAAATCAGCCTCCTGAAAGGGGAACAGTTGTCTGGAAAGATTGAGAACCTCTGGCCTAACCAACACATTGATTTCATACACTTCTATGTCATCAAAACACACTGGAAGTTGACATGCCATGGGAGCAAGCACAGACACACATCTACAGTACCACCGCCGTCTCCCTTTCTCATTTCTTTGCACACAGTCCATCACAAGGCTAAGCTGTCTGATGAAATAAGGTCTGAGAGAGGCGAACACGAGTCAGACAACGGAACTCAAAAGGTAGGAAGGAGCCTGCATGCCATGGAGAGAAGAGGGGTTGGAGAATGCTAATAAACATTAGAAACAAATCAAGAAAACAGAAGAGAGTACTTACAACAGAAAACAGAGAAATTTCACTTGTTCAGTAGTCCTGATGCATCAAATAATAGACAGGAAAGAGAGACAGACAGATGGAGAAAAAAAAAAGCATGTGAAACGACCTGGATATTATCTCTTATTTGAATAAATGTAACGAGTTGCACAGTTCTCTTTCTTGGGGAGGAGCATGCAGATAGGTGACAGTCCAATTCAGTGTTTATTATTATTGGAGAAGAAATGAACATTCATGCAAAAATCCAAAATCCCAGGGACCCAGGTGCCTGGAACTGCTTACTCTGCTCCTAAATAAAGAAGAGATGGAACCTGAAACTTTAAGTGATATTCCATTGTCTACTAATTCTTAACCACTTCAGAGTCAAACACAGAGGAGCGCTGGGGTTTAACAGATCCATATAGATTCCTTGCAAGATATTTCTAAAAGAGGTCAGAAAGACCAGTTCATTCAGGCTTGCCAGGTTTTCTCCATTCTCTCTCAGTTAAAATCCATCCTCCAGGTTTACCCCCTCATTAAAATTTCACCTAGACAACCTGTGAGCAGAATGGTGGCTTGTTTCATTTTTAATGTCAATTCAAGCACAAAACTGTGTGCTTCCCAAACTTCCCCATTTAACCTGTTTCCTGCCTCTCCTTTTTCTGCTGGTTCCACCTGCCCCTTTGGCCAGATGAATGTCAGTTAATAATTACAAGAAAAAGGCCCAAATATTTAGTGCGAAATGACTCTCTTATAACAATCCTTTCTGCCTTTCTACCTGTTCACAAACTACATATTGGGGTTATATCAAAAGATTAAACTGTATTGTGACATTTTGTTTCTGGTGTTTTGTATGTTGCAACTTCAAACTCTGGGACTCAAGTCACCTGGAGACATCAATAAGGCACAGTCCCTGCTTGGAAGAAACCTGAGATACAACGGGTGAAAGGCTTACATTGACATATGCACTCCCAGAGAGTGGATACAATTCAGCCTGCATTCCCAGTTGGCACTGTGAAACCTCAGTACTTAATGACCATTTTAAATAGCATGCTTTAAGAACTAAATATGTATTTAAAGAATCCCACATGTACGTGTACCAAAATAGTCCTGCAGGGGAAGGCAAACTGCATGCCGACTGGGCAGATGTGATACAGCCGACAGAACAAATAGCCTGACTGTTTAACCGTACTTCTCTGCATTAGCTATGAAAGAGGAAGTTCCAGGACGACCTGAAAACCGTTTCAGCAATATGTGATGAAAGAGACATCCATTTGTGTTGAGTGAAAGAACCACAGAGCCCGTGGTGCACCAGCAGTTGGAAAGCCCCCTCCTGCCCAACCCTCACATTAAGGATTTGTTTTGAATAAACCATTTAACAGCAGGGGATTTTAAACTTCATACACTGGAATCTCAACCACCTGTTCACTCTAACTTGCCAGGATGTCAGGTGATTTCTTACAACCAGGTCCCACTAAGAGACACTAGGCTACTTGGCTCTTATGACTAACACACGCATTGCTGAGTGTATTTGGCTTGCTCATCCGGTCAATTCATGAAGAACCACTGGATGAGAGAGAGAAAAAAAAAAAGATACAGCGACCTGTGTGCAAATACAGCAGGGCAGGAACAAAATATAGTGACACTGCAGAATCTGGCTGCCTGCCATAGTTGTCTGTCTTGCAGCTCATTCACCAGTAAGACTAGCTTGGATGAGAACAACGGGGCAGGAAACAGGAGTATTGCTGCAATTACTCCCAAGGCATCTGGGAAACAAACAAGCAGGCTGCCATCCCACAAAGCAAACCTCCGGCTGCCTGACCCCCAGAGAGCAGCCAACCCAGCACGCGGCATCACTCACGTTATCAAGCGCGACTTGGCCTTCTTCGGAGAGGCTTTGCCTATTGTCAGCTCCTCGCCCTGAACCTCCAGGGTCTGAGACTCCAGAATTTCATTGAGATTGTTATCAGCTGTGGGGCAGGAGTCAGCAGTTGTGCTGGCTAAGCTCTTGGTGGGTTTAAAAGGATCCACTGTGTCAAAGTTGTTGGGGTCAAAATGATAGGAAGCCTTTGGGAGGGGTGGGGAGTTCTGCAAGTTCGAGCTGCTGCCAAAAGGGTTGAAGTTAGGGTCGTCCCACTGACTGGGATCCACCGGGTACAAAGCTTTGGGGAGAGGCACCTCTGCTGGAGCCTTTTCCAGGCCATCAGCACTCATAGGTTTATTAGCAGCTTCTCTTTGTCGTTTAGGAGTTAGTTTGCTGGCAGGTTTCCTGCCAATTTTCTTTGGCAAGGCTTTCTTGACCTCTCCATTCTCCGCCCCATCCGTAAAATCAAATTCCAGCTTCAGAGCATGGCTCCGAGACTCCTCAGCCAACTCCACCCCGGAATCATTGGTGTCGCTGTTTGAAGCCATGAAGGTTTGCTGAGCAGCAGGAGGAGAGTTCTGTATTTTGGACCCTCCCATCACGAAGGGGTTTATTTTCTCATCATACTCAGCTGGATTGAACTGGTAAGATGCTTTGGGGACAGGGATGCCCTCCGTGGCTGTTTCTGTTTCAGGGGTCTCTCCAGCTGTTTTCTTCCTAAGAGAAGATGGTTTCACTTTCTTGAGCTTGCTCTTGCTTGGCACTGACTCCAGGGCAAAAGTTTCAGCCTTTGGCTCAGCATCAGCCAACCCTTCAAGAGTGACCACCATGTCTTCTTCTGACATCACCCACTCTTGGGTAGCTGTGGGTACATTGGATGGTAAAGTCTGGTCTGGAGCCGACACTACTGAAGATGGAGAATCGGTTTCTTTTGTGAGTGCCGAAGAAATATCCAAAGGCGGCTCCGTTTCTGGTGCAACTTGTGTCACTGATGAATCTTCATCAAGTTTGCAGTCAGTTTCTGCTTTAGAATTCTTGTCGGCTTGAAGATCTGCAAGAGGCGATTGCACTTCATCCTCTGAGTGTTTCTGGGGTACATATGTCTCTGAAATTTCAGCTACCAGCTGTTCATCATCTTCACGTAATTCTAAAATAGATAAAAGCAGCTATTAAAACCATGCCTGCTCTACAGCATTCTAGCATATTCTGCACCTAGACATCAGCTGAATGAGTTATGGATTGGCTTCCCTACGATTTTCCTCTTCTCAAAGCTGCTCCAAGATTCATAGACACAAAGATCAATGTATTTATTTAGATTTATAATCTATCCCCAGCTGCAGATACGTTCTGTAGAATTTAAAGTACACAATCCAGAATCTGAAGGTCACCATGAGAGAGAATGCCCACACACAGACCAGGGCTACTCACCTACCAACAAACCTATAACGTCCTCTCTCTATGACCTACTACCACCCTAATGCCCAAGAAGAAAGATGGG